TCTCTCTCCCCCTCTCTCACTCTCTCTTTAAAAAAAAAAAAGATTCTCACTTGACTTTACAGATTTAATGAGATTCAGAAAGTTATAGAAATGTTCAAATATGTAAGCATCCAAATTCCAAAATTTTAATGATTAACTCCATTATATCAGTTTATGGGATTAAATATTGCTTAAAGTCTTCAAATGCGGACTCTGTGCTAGGAAATAAAGAAATAAATTAAGACTATCATCATGTGACTTGACATGGATCCATTTAAGCATCATTAAATCAGACTTCCTATATTACGTTCCTTTATCAAATTGCCAGTGAGCATATGTTAACATGAGATGGACAGCATATTGAGTCAAGCAGATTTTCTGCTTTACTAGTGATTAGAGAAGTATATGGGGTCTTAATTCAGACAAACATTAAGTTGATTTGTTTTTGTATTTTTTCCACCTATAAGCCAGAATCTTGATGCAATATATTTATTGACATAATTCAAATTCAGAGTTTAAAACTGAGAATTCAGTCCAACAGGGATTTGAAAACTGTCAATCTATAAATATTAAGTTTTGAGTCCTATTTTGCTTTTTAAACCTCATCCTCAAAAGTGGACATTCCTGGATAAAAACAGTTTTAAAAATCTGAACAAATGTTTAGACTTTAAAAGGTAAGATCTAAATGTCTTCAATAATAATTTTATCATTCAGGTTTTGAAAACTCCAACCCAGCTAACATCACAAGTAAATTAATCCTCCAGTAATTTTGACTTTGGCATCTTTTATGTATGCATGTCTTATAGTAGACCTATAAAGTCTACTATAAGTTGTTACACTGTTTAACAGTATAACAACTAGTTGTAACAGTGTAACAACTACAAAGCCAAGAACTCTTACTATGGAGGAAAGAGAAAATGTTTTGGTTCATGAAGAGAGAGAGAGAGAAGGAGAGAGAGAGAGAGAGAAAGAAAACCACCACAGCAATCATTTCAAATCTGTCCACATCAGAAATCTAAAAAATCCCAAGTGAAGCCAGAGTGTGACTAGTATCTCCTAAGGAAGCCTATAAGACCTCATTTAAAGATTTTGGATTTGAGTTTTGCTTTATTCGTCTGAATCCCAGGGTACAACCAAAGCAAAGGATTAAGGATTTTTCATCTTGAACTAGCCTCTAAATAAAAATAGTTTTATTCCACTGCCAACTCCTATGACCATATGGTAAATTTAAAACTCTTTCAACCTTTCCTTGCAGTTTTCTTCCTTAAAATATTCACTTACTTTGGTAAAGCATGTGCTTAGCATATGTGAGGCCCTGGGTTCAATCCCCAGCACCAAAAAACAAAACAACATCCAAAAAAAAAAAAGGAAAATTCTAACTTATTCTAATTTTAGTTCATGTTAATTTCAGTTAACCAGATTAAATTCATTGTAGGTTGAGAGGGGTGATCTTAATTAGCTGTTCCAAAGAAAGGAACTATTGCTGTGCAGAGATTTCTGCATGACTCACTTAAGTCATTGTCTCAGTGCCCAGTAGCTGGAGATGTAAGAATAATTGTCCTGCCTTCAGAGCAATGGTTTTAAAAATTAGTCACATTAGTTGAATAGAATACAGCCTTAAAGGACACAGATATGTCAAATAAAAAAACAAATCTGGACTTGGTAAGGAGAAACCTTTTACTTGAAAGGATTATTGCAAAGGACTATTGCAACAGGGAGGGAGGACTATTTTTCTAACAGTAAGACCTGAAATATCTCAGACTTAGAAAGAAAGGAACTTTTTTTTTTTTTTTGTAGAAGAAATAAGCAAGACTGGAGCAAACCAGGTATAAGAGATGGAAGGAACAAAGAAAGGGTGGAAGTAGCAGTGACAGGACAGTTGATTAAAGAATGTTTTATAGTGCCAAGTAAGGTGGTGCACTCCTATAATCCTAGCAACTCAGCAGGCTGAGATAGAAAGACTGTAAGTTCAAGGCCAGGTTCAGCTACTTAGAGAGACCCTGTCTCAAAATAAAATAAAAAATAAAAACGTTGGGGGCTGTAGTTTAGTTGTAGAGAGCCTTGTGGATTAAAATTCTACTACCAAAACCAACCAAACAAGCAAAAAACAAAGAAAAAAGAACTTCTTTAAGGATGTTTTACTCTGAGGTTAGAAGAGGCTATTAAGGAGGTAGTTTATGTTAATGCAGGCTGAGGGTGGGCCAAATTTAGGAGATCTGGGTAAGGAGAAGAGAAGAGATTAATTAAAATTTGATCAAGTCATATTTATCAATGTTTTCTTCCAAATGAGTAGAAACAAAGCAATTTAATTTAATCAGTTCTGAAGCAAAGAATGGGAACTCTGGAGGGTATTTGGCCTTGTCATGTACACAAAGTAGGTATGCTTGAGTCTTATGTAAGTCATATAAGGAGACAGTGGTTTCCTGCAAGAACCTGTTTCACAGAACTTAGGAAAATAGGAAGGATTTTAACCATAGCTGTTTTCTAGGATCACAGGACCAGTAAAGTTTAATGTAGACAATGTTGAGATATAGCAATCAGGTTGTTCCCTGCTAATATATGTGAGGCAAGAAATATTTTACAGACACTTCTTCTGCAGTAGGCAGAAATCTAAAGTGGCCTTAAGATTTCCATCTCATATTCACACACTCTGAATATTCTCTCCCTTTGAGTATTAGCAGGACTGTGCATAAGATGGAATATGATACACATGAATATGTTCCTTTATATGGGAAAAGATTTTGCAGATGTGATTAAGGTTCATAATCAGTTGACTTCTTTCCAGCAGAAGGAATGCAGTAAAACATTTTATTAGTCATATTTTAACATGATTTTGCATACTACATAGATCCATTTGTCTACAAAGTTTAGACAGCACCAAGGAAATAAAATTTCCAGTGATGTGGGAAATAAAATTTCAGCTAGAAAGATGGAAATCAAAGAAACTCCCTGCTTCAGTCATCATGAATAGTCCTACTCTGAAATTCCAGGGGACCTTTTGTGTCACTGAACCTTTTAAAACATGAACGAGATATGTTGTTTGTCAGATTTCCATCAGTATGACAAAAAAAAATAATGTAGCCAAAAAAAAAAAAAAAAAGGAAATGTGTATTTTAAGAGGTTTAAAAGTGAGATAGTGAATGCTGTATAAAAGCATTAAGACACTCCAGGGTGTATTTCATTGGTCCATTTACCTACAGCCTGTCCCTTACATTGTACCCAAGGCATGTATTAATGAGCTAATAAAACATACCACGTCAAAAAAAAAAAAAAGAGAGAGAGAGAGAGAAGGGAAATTGCATGGTAAAGAAAGGAGACCCTCATTGTTATACAAAATTACATATAAGAGGAAGTGAGGGGAAAGGGGAAAAACAAGAGAGAGAAATGAATTACAGTAGATGGGATAGGGAGAGAAGATGGGAGAGGAGGGGAGGGGAGGGAAGGGGAGATAGTAGAGGATAGGAAAGGCAGCAGAATACAACAGACATTTAGTATGGCAGTATGTAAAAAAGTGGATGTGTAACCCATGTGAATCTGCAATATGTATATGGGGTAAAAATGGGAGTTCATAATCTGCTTGAATCAAATGTATGAAATATGATATGTCAAGAGCTTTGTAATGTTTTGAACAACTAATAATAATAAAAAAAAAGAAATCAAAGGATGAAAGATTTATTTTGTCTCACAGTTTCAGAAGTTTCAGTCCATGGTCACCAGGCTCTGTTTTCTCTGGGCCATAGTGAAGAAAAACATCATGGCAGGAGTGTAGAGTAGAACAAATCTGTTCAACTTGCAGCAGCCAGGAAGGAGAGAGAGAAGGATGGGGGTGGGGTAAGAAAGGATCAGAGAAAATATAAACCATTTAAAGACACACATCCAGAGAACTAGACCCCAACAACTAAACATACCACCACCTCCCAATAGCACTAGTAGCTGGGGATCAAGCCTTCAACAAATGAATCTTTGGAAGGTGTTCTATCAGTAAGACTTGAAATATGTCAGAGTTAGATTCACACTCTAACATTCCTTCCCTAGCTCCTCAAAGGTTCACGCCTCTCTCACAATATAAATGTGTTCAGTCAATCTCTAAGAGTCCCCATAGTTTTAGTTCCAGCACTGCTCAAAAATGCAAGTTCAAAACCTCCTGAGACTCAAGGCGAACTCAGCCCCTATAAAAATCAAATAACAAGTTACATATTTCCAACATAAAATGCACAGGGTAAACATTCCTATTCCAAAAGGGAAGAATAGGATAATACCAAAAAAAGGATCAGGCCAAAGAAAGACTAATACTTAACAGAGCAAAAATTTAAAAATTCTGTAGCTTCATACCTGGTATCCAAGGGCACAAGGTAGCATGATGTGAACTACAAAGGGATTGGACAACCCTGTTCCTATAACCTCGCTACTGCAACCCACATGGCCTTCAGACTGGCTCCACTCTTGCCATGTGATTTTTCTCAGTATATGTTCCACGTTCCTGATCTCTAACTTCTTGTAGTCTCTATTGCAGCTTTGGCTTCACTCTCATAGCTTCATATGTTTTCCTCTCAGAGGTTTCTCATAGAGATTCCAATACTGCCACATCCTGGCTAACCTCCCAGAACTTTGAAAACTAAGCATAAACCTCCAGGACCCCACAACTCTTAGATTCTGTAGGCCTGTGACATCAGCCCCACATTGGTGACACCAAGGTCTCCGATAAATAGAAGCAGTGCCTGAGCCACTTTGGATCACAATTGTAGCAATTTCTGAATGCCTAAATGATTAAATGTGCTGAAATAAATCCTTGTAAAACAATTTTCTAGGTGTCTTTATGAGAGCAGGATACTCAAGGACTCTTATTTCAAATGAAAGTCTTTTTACATCTTCAAGCCTGTGAGGTGGGATCTTGCTGATTCCTGTTATGTTCTCAAGGCATCTTTCCTATTGTCCTGGTGCAAAATGCTTAACTTCTTTTTAACAGCACTTATGTCTTCAGCAACCATACTTTCCTTCGCCCCAACTTTATACATACTTTTCTGTTCAAACCATAAGTTTTGAAAATCTGTCTGCTCTTTTGCTCCTGATTATCACTGTAATGCTCATACCATTGCTTGAATTAGGTGCTGCCTTGACATTTCCTCAACCAAATTAATTAGTCCATCACCTTTAAACTCAGCCTCAAACTTAAGGTATGGAGAAAATTATTTGCCAGAGTGTAACATGAATGGACTCTAATCCAACTTCCAATAGAGGTCTCATTTCCAACTGAAATCTCATGAGCACAGCCTTTATTGTCCATATTTCTATCAATGCTCTCATCTTTAAGCACTCAACAGAATTGTTAAGCTCCATCTACGGCATTCTAAGGCTTCTGTAGCCTTTATCTCCAAAGCTTTCCAAACTCCTCTAAAAAACCAAAGGCTTCTGAATCACAGCAGCAGGTATAGCCACACAACAGCCTCACTTCTTGGTACCAGTTTTCTGTATTAGTCAGCTGTCCATTGCTGTGACAGAAATCAACCTAAAGGAGGAAAAATTCATTTTGACTTACAGTTTCAGACATTTCAGTCCACGGTCATTTGGCTCAGTTGTTTCTGGGGAATAGTGAGGCAGAACATCATGGCAGGAAGCCTGGGGATAGTAAAAAGCTGCTCACCTGATGGCATCCAGGAAGTAGAGGAAGAGAGGGTGAGAGAAAAGAAGGAGAGGGAGGAGGAGAAAGAGGAAGGGAGGAATAGGAGAATCAAGAGGAAGATAAAGAGAAGGGGAGAAGGAGGAAGAAGAGAAAGGATGAAGATGGATGAAGAAGACCAGGGCCAAAATAAACCCTTTGGAGGTATTCCCCCAGTGATCTACTTCCTCCAGCTAGGCCTCACCCTCTAAAGTTTCCATTGCCTCCCTATAACAACATGATCTGGGAACCAAACCTTCAACACATGAGTTGACATTCCAAATTCAAAATTCGTGAGCATGTAGTTACTAAAATATGGGAAATTATAGGAACTGGTTGAATGGGACACAATTGGCTGAGTAATGGATTCTTCAAAACCTTCTTCTCAAACTAAGTATCTCCATGCAAAGTCTGAACTACTCTCTACCTCCTACTGTCATCTATAAACAAGAACAACTTACTTTCCTCTTACTTACTTATAAGAAATAGAAGAGGTAGTCTATTTCTGTGTATAATATTTATAGTGTGTAATCAACTTCAATAACTGCTAGTTGTTATCAAAAAAATGTTATGAAAAAGGATAGAGTGTTTTAGTTTATTTTTATAGTTTAATTTTTGTCCCTTGATTTGAATGTGCCTTTAGTGAAAATATTTGATGTTTTATTGTTGTTGTGAGGGGTGGTATTGGTTGTTTTCACTGGTTAGTTTTAGATGTTTTGTTTTCCTTTTGTGATTTACTTTCATTTATTATTATTATTTTTAAAATCCTAGTAGAGTATGTATAAAGCAAAATACCTTAAAATAAAGATTTACTTCTTCAACCATTTAACTAATAAAATGAAAAAAAAATATACCCTTTGTTTGAGGAAAGAAGAGCATGCCCTTTGTTTAGAGGCATTAATAAAACAACAAAAGAATTTTCCAGATTCCCAAAGGGACATGTTATGAGGTGAAAAATAGAACAAGACTTACATTAATATAGAATGGATTTGAATGGATTTAAATGCCTTGTGTATGAGGATGAAGTAGACATAATTGCTCTTATAACTGAAATTTTGAATGACATAAAAGTATAAAAGATAAAATAATAAAATTTGAAGGAGATATTTTTCCCCATAAAGACCAAGGAAGAAAAATATTCTTAATTTCTATTTAGTTTGCTAACAATGCTCTTTTCCTTCCTAGGGATCAATAACCTAGGAAAGCCTGCTTGAGTGAATTTGTAAGTTCCAATTTATTTTTCATTGGGTTATTAGCTTTGCTGTTTAATTAAAAATTAGCTGTCCATTCAATTTTCTGAATGAACACAGGAGTTATTGTAAAAATATTAAGTTCTAGAAAATTCTTTGGATTTTGCACTTCAGTAATAACAGCTATTACCATCTGTTTCTTGCTTGCTCACCTAGTACAAGAAAATTTCTCTAATGGAAAACCATTTTTACTGAAGAATTCTCTTAATTACTCAGAGAAATTTTTTAAAAGGCAAATGAGAGTTTGTAGCTTAAAAGTAATCAGCATCAAATGAGTAATTTTGTTATCCAGATGTATGGGGAAAAACAACAGAGAAACAGAGAAGGAGGAAGGGGAAAAAAGAGCAAGAAGCTATTTCTCAAAAATTTTTCTTTCTTAGCTACACAACCCCTTACTCCTAATGGTAAAACCTCTTTCAGGACTTAATGTAAAACCCATAGCATCATAACCTACATTTGCCCTTAGGATGAACCTACAACAATGTTACCTTTGAGATTGGAAAAAGGGAATACAAGGGCTGGGGTTGTGGTTCAGTGGTAGAGCCTTTGCCTAGCATGTGTGAGGCACTGGGTTCAATCCTCAGCACCACATAAAAATAAATAAATAAAGCAAAGGTATCCATCTATAACTAAAATAAATAAATAAATAAAATTTTACAAAAAGAAAAAGGGAGTACAATGTTCCTTCCTAATTGATGGAAGTTTTTATTGGCTTTATCGTCATATTTTGGTATGTGTATGTGACAATATGTAAGAGACTCAAGACATACAGACTCCAATCCAGGCATTCCATTTCAGTAATTTGTTGCTACAGATGAAAGATGGGTATAGGCAGGCAGAATAATTTATTGTGTGACACAAAACCCCAACCACAATTTACAATGCTCAAGTTTATTGTCTATGCAGGCACCTTTAGCTATTATTATGCAATTTCAAAGTACTGTATAATTGAGTTTCAGATTAAAATCCTCTCATGGAAATGATTCATCATCCTCCTGAACTGACTCCTCCCCCACACCCTTTTCTTTTCTTCGACTTTCTCTTCTTTTCTTCAAAACAATTCCTCAGTTTCTCTCTACCTGAATTATATTACATTTCCTACTGATATAAAGTAACACTCTTATTTCATTTTTTAGCAGTTCCATTAATTTGATGTTTACTTCTTATTCAGACTCCCTAATAAAAATGCTAATTATGATCATATCTAATAGCAACTGCTGAGGCACCCTACCAGCTCTTTTCTCATTCCAACTGGACCTACTCACATTTATCATCAGGGCTTGGTTTGTCAGCCAGATTGCAGTATTCCCAAGCCTGCTCTTCCTCCTCGGCTAAACCCACCTTGGGAAATAAATCCAATTCACAAGATATTGTATCAACTATCCTAGCAAACTTCAGATACAGAGACACATTCTGTTTACTTGCTAATGTAATACTATTGGGAAAGAATAGAGGTTGAAGATAAAATCTAATTTATTCTTATCCATTCTCATAATATAATCACTTTCCTTATTGATTCTATGTATATACATTTTTCTATAGTCATATCTCCTAATATTAAATTCACATGGTTACCTATATTTCATGACTCTGTGAATAATAATTTTATGCTGTAAGTTCTTCCTTTTGTAATTATAAAAATTGATTCATAGAATGTATTAAAACAGATCTGATCTCTCGGCCCTGTTTTAGTGTTCTTGAGCATTCTTATTATTTTCCTAAAAGCTATTTTGACAATCTCTTTCATACTCTAAAATAATTTTTAAAATATTTCTGCTAATTGACTTAATGAGCAAAACCCACTTATTTTTCGAAGTTGTAGAGTGCACTACAATATCTTCACCTATTTATTTAAAAAAAATTCTTCCTTCAATTTTAATATTTACTTAATTTTAGTATATTTTATTGTTATACAGGGTTAGTCAGTTTTCTATTACTGTAGCAAATATTTGAGATAATAAGCTTTAAAAAGGAAAGGCTTATTTTAGCTTACCATTTCATAGGTTTTAGTCTGTGGTTGGTTGCCCTTGACTATGAACCTGTGGACAGGCAGCACATCGTGGCAGAGTGTGTGGTAGAGCAAGTTGCTCACCTTAGTGGTTCCATGAAGTAAAAGCGAGCAAAGGGAGAAATTGTGTTCCCATATACTCTTTGAGGGCACATCCTCAATAACCTAAAACCTCCCACTAGGCCCTACCTCTTAAAGTATTCACTGTCTCCCAATTGTGCCATGTGTTGCAGTTCAAGCCTTTAACACATAGATCTTTGGGGGACACTTATTCAAACCATAGCAGGCATGACATAAAGACCAAGAAAAAAGAATTCACTATGCCATAAAGAAAACATAAACTATGGAAGAAATATTTAATGTACTCAGCCTTAAAATAAAATTATTGGTTTATTTATTTATTATTTTTTTGAGGGATACTGGGGATTTAACTCAGGGGCATTTGACCACTGAGCCCATCCTCAGTCCTATTTTTTGTATTTTACTTTATTTTATTTAGAACCAGGATCTCACTGAGTTGCTTAACACCTTGCTTTTGTTGAAGCTGGCTTTGAATTCGCAATCTTCCTGCCTTAGCATCCTGAGCTGCTGGGATTACAGGCATGCGCCATGATGCCTCACACTCTTGGTTCATTGAAATCAGAATCTCTCTACTTTTCTTAATGATATCACTCCCATGTTTTCCCCAGCCATTTTCCTTTGGGTACTCTGATTACCTGGAGACAGACAAATCTGCCAACAAAGTCCACTGAGTGTCAGCTGTGGTCCATACTGGCTTGTAGCCCACATGCTCATCAACTCTATATACAGACATATACAAACAAGGATAATTGAAAGAGGAATCAGTAAACAAAAGTCAATGTGAAGCAAAGAAACCAAGAGTAATCACAGCAGGAAAGAAATTGTAATTGAAGATGAGCAGTGAGAGCTGACTATGGGAATGTTCACACTGTCCCCATTGAGGATGCTCTGGATGTACAGAGAACAGAGTGAAGGTGAACCTATGAACACACATAAGGAACATGTACGTTCCTTTTACATACATGATGAAAAAGAAGATGATGTCCCAGGACAGTGATGCTTTCAAACATTCTTATTAAAGGATTTCTTGATAACATTTCACAACATTGAAACAGTGAAGGATAAAGTATTGATGGATGATTGCTTAACCTCACAAACATTGGCTCAAAAGACATTAAAACAGAGGGTGATGACCAGAACTCCCTGTTTAGTTGAAACCAGAATAAACAACATGCAAAATACAATAAAAATCAGCAGCTCTTCCAAACAACAATGCCAAATGTCCAGCCCACCCTGATTGGAATGCTAAAATTTCCACCCCAGGCAGAACATGGGACACATGTTCTAAAAAAACATGCAAATGTAACATATGTTCTGCTACAAAACCAGCTCCTTACCCTTCCTTTGGGGATTCTCCCTCCCTTGAGTACCCCTAAGACTCCACACAAACCAAAAACTCTTTGTCTTCAGGGAGCTTGGGAACTATTGGTCACGAGACTGTCTGGGTTCCTGACTGGTACCACACAATGAAGTTCCTTTCTCTAACTCAAACCAACCCCTGTCCTGTCATATATCAGAGACAAGGAACCAAAAGCCACTGGGGCTAACACAAGCATTGTTTGAACTATCCCTGATATATCTTTTTACAAAGAAATAAAACAATTGAATTATTAAGGTTTCTAATATATAACAGTCTACTAATTAAATGTTTCATTACTTTAAATTTTTCTCTATATTTTAAAAATCAATAGTAAAATTTTTATGTTTTGACAATTTCTAATAACCACAGAATAATTACAAACGTTCACATCCATTATTAAGGCTGCTTTGCATGATTTCAGCTTGTATGGTTACTTAATGTTCCTGCACTACTGTGCAAAGCAAGGACTACCTATAATAGCAATTAAAAAATTATTTAAACATCAATAGCTAAAAGTAACCTGTGGTTATCTACCAGAGGTTTCTTTCCAAACTGAAGAGGGAGAAAAGAGATTTATTCATGCATTGGGCTTTGATATTATTCTCTCTATGGACCTTCAATTTTAATATTGCTGCACAAAAATGTTACCCCCAAATCTTAATCTAAATGCTGTGCAGGTTCTGATTTTCTTCCTTCCTGTACAGAACTCAAGTAGCTTACCCTTCTGGTAACAAAGTTGTGTATTGTTCTCCCATGAGTGCAGATGTCTACATCACCCAGGAAACCAGAGACGCGAGACTAAAAGGAGCTCTCGAGGGCTTACAATTGACTGAGTTCCATTGGATGCTGGTACTGAATTGAACCAACAGAGCTCTATGTACACACTTTTGAGCCCGACTACGGCTGTGGAAAGACTGGAAGAGCTTTGGCCAATTTGAGGCGAAAAAAGGAGCTCTGAGGGAGTTGATGGAATCTTTTTCTCAAATTTGCAGATTGTCTAAATTAAACTTGCCACTCAAAGTATGAACACAGATTGTCTCTTGTTTATTCAGAGACTTAGAATGGCCCCAAAGAGCAAGTGATTGCCAAAGGGACAGAGTGAGTAGAACAGAACAAGAAGTCCCCATCCTACAATACTCTTTATTCCATGGAATGTTATTTTGAAACTCCAAGTACATTTTCTTCTACATTCAGTGTTATATATTTTGGACAGGCCAGCCCCAGAAACTTATGTAACACAAATGCAGCTCAACTGTAGTAATAATCATTACAAGGCAATGACCCCTTATTTTCCTAAAAAAATATCTATTCAAAAAGCTCACAATAGTGAATATAGCCAGAACAATGAAGGGTTTAAAATATTCATAGTAACTGTCTTTAACTTGTTTATTTTCATTAGAAAACCCAGACATATAATAAAAATATCACTTGTTATTTTAAAACCCAGAAATAAACAGGCCTGATATTTTGCTGCCTATTATCTGAGACTAGTTTTAATAATTTAATAACGTTACTAGTGTGTAATGTTATTTTATAGCAAAAATATTTATCATATATTTTCTTTTGAAACCTGCTTTTTCACTTAACATAGTAACAGATCTCATAACAGGAAATATATATCTACATTATAATTGTAAATGACTTTACACATTATATAAGTAAATTATAACTTGTAGACCAGCCTTTATTTTGAGTCTTTTTATGGTACAATATAATTAAATCTAGTTTCACCTGACACAGCATGTTTATTTGGGTTTGTTTCTGAACTAGTCCATCCTATTGATCTATTTTTTCTAGTTAGCTTCCAGTAAAAATCTCCATCTTTCTCTGAAAGAGTATTGAGTTGTGTTCTAGTAGCAATTAAACGGAAGATCACCTTGACAGCATGAAGCTATGGTTTCAGACTTTGTTTAAACAGATCTATTTCAATTGCAGCCTTAATCCTGAGATGGTTCTTACTTCTAAGCTATAACCCATCAGTTTCTATAGAAAGTCTGAGGTGCTTTCCAAATACCACAATGTTGATGGAAATCTAACTCCTAACAACATTCCCACCATCTATGCAACTGCTAATATCTTTGTGCAGTTTTGTTAACCTTCTAGCTTCTTTTATTCCCTGAATAGCTTGAAATCTTGCTCCTCACATGTGTAGCCCTGAAATCAGCCACGCTGTTAATTATGTACACAGAATTTGGAGCTCCCCCTTGTGTCTCTCCTTTTTGGGATTCTCCTATCTTTTTTCAAACAGGGTCACACAGAGCTGCAAGGAAGCATGGTATATGTAGTCTTTCGTCTAGGTGTCATATTTTCAGCTAACTAGTGGTCGCATTTATGTTTTAATTATATCTTAACATTTATTTTCCTAACAAGGTAAAAAATAAACAATGTGTGTTAATATACATGTACAGAGTGAAAACTTTATATACATTTTTTCTTCTCATTCCCAAGTTTTTGTTGTAATAAACTTTTTAAAAATCTAGATTAGTACTATTTTAATTTCATTTTTTGAAATTATGTATATCCTAATTCATTAAATTATATTTTAAAATAAAAATCAAGCAATGTTAATTAACAATATTAGGCCATGCTTCCCCCTGTCTACTTTTTGTGTGTGGTGCTGGGGATTGAACCCAGGGCCTTGTGCGTGCAAGGTAAGTGCTGTACAAACTGAGCTATATCCTCAGCCCTTATGTCTCCCTTTTAATTAGCATTTCATGTGTATTAATTTCAGGATTACAATCAAATAAAATACTTTCTGAGTTGTTATTTGCATGCAAATGTCCCTCTGTCGATCTTGCAGTAGACAAGGGTTTGTCAGGGAATTTTTCTGACATATTGTTGACCTTTTTTATTTGACATCTATTATTTACTCTTATAGAAAATTGCAAGTGATTTTTTTCTTTTATAATTATTTTTTTTCTGAATGTATACTTGAAAGATATCTCTTTTTTATCTGAAATTAAATGTATGAAAATATATCACTTTTCATTATTTTTTCTTAGTATTTCATAGATTCTTACATTATGGAACTCCTCAATATAATCCTTTATAAATTTTAAAAAATATTTTTATGCATCTATAGTTGCTTTTTCATTTATGGCAGTGTTTCCCAAATATTCCACAGCATTGAAATCATTTAATGTACTTATTTTGAAAAATAGATACACCTAAGTTCATTTCTAGGTATACTAAAATAGCATCTCTGGGAGGGGAAAAGGAAAGCATGCATTGGATGACCATTACATACATTTGGGAACACTTTTTAGGTATTCCTCATTATGCCTATGTTTGATTTTCTGGCTCCATCATCCATGTGGATTATGCTGTATTGCTTGTAGCAACCCTTTAATTTGCTTCCTCTCTGTTCTCTGGTAATTGCTTGAGCTGTTTTTTCAATTCACTGATTCAGTTTCCTGTAGCATCTAACCTGATATTCAGTGATTATATCATTTGTATTAAATTCAGTAATCATAAATCAACTGAAAAAAACTCTCCTAATTTTTAATTCTTCTGTTTATATAAGTGCAAGGTGACCCTGAATCTTTTTGAGATAGAAGCGTTTTGTTTGTTTGTTTTTTGTGGGTTTTTTTTTTTTGGGGTCATTTTCCTTGAGGAAGTCAGTTTCACATGCATCACTACCTCTGACTTGTACTCTCTCTTTGAACTAGTGCATCTTTTCACATAAACAGTAGTTTTATTGCATTTAGAGAGGTGGACATTTCCACTATTGGAAGTATGTCTTTACTTACACAAAATGAAGGTGGGTAAACATTGACATTCTCTAATCTTTTTTGCCTGGACAGTATTAAAGTAATCCAACTAATAGCAAGAGGTAACCATAGAGAAACCTGTTTTCATTTTCCTGGTAATATTTGTTTATAATCTCTAAGCTGTCTGGGGCTTCAGTCCTCCCTAGAAAAGAATCCATTCCAGTGAAACCAAGTGGTATGTATGACCTTGCTAGTTGTTCCTTGAATATTTACTTATTTATTTTTATATCAATATTGATAAACTTGATCCACATAAAGTGCATACTGTATAACAGGATACTGGGAATATAGTAATGAAATAAAACAAATCCATTTCTATGGCCTTATGAAACTTACAATTTTGAGAGGAAAAATAGCCCTTCATATTGGTTGATTGCATTTACATAAAGAAACAATGGAAGGGAAACACAAGAAAAAGAATGAAATGATTATTTACAGGGCATGGAAGGACAATTTTTTGTAATATTTTATTTTGTTAAGTATATGAAATTATTATTCATTTAGAACAATGACTAAAATTATTATAAAATCAGTATAAAAATTAAAGGAATTAAGTAGGATAATGGGGAAGTTTTGGGAGAAGTACTTTTTTTTTTTTTGAGGTCTGATAAAACATATGGAGTGCTTCAAAATTTGCATGTCATCCTTGTACAGGAACCATGCTAATCTTTGCCATATTGTTCCAATTTTAGTATGTGTGATGCTGAAGAAAGTACACTTTTTAAGCAATCAAAATTATCTTCTTTAGCAATGGGATGAATGGGCCATTCAATTTTAGTTTGTTTAGGTTTTTGAACTGAAGCTTGGCTTTTAAGTAAGGGTTTCTAAAACTTCCTTTGAGATTTTCTCTGTGTAATGCCTTATTAAAGAAATTATGCCCATTGGTACTAGCATCACTCTATTAAGAAGCCACACAGGTTTCAGAAAAGCAACAAGTTTAAGCAAAGAAAAATCAGAGAATTCAATCAATAGAATACAACATGTATAACAGTTCCTGACCCCATATTTCATAACAAAGGCCTTTAATATATGTGTTTTATTATCACCTATGCCAAATTTCACATATCATGATGGAATTTCTAAATAGTCACGTTTTGTTCTTTTAAAACAATCTTTTCCAGATAGCAGAGTGAAATACTGAGATATAAAGTCCTATCTGGGCTCCAAACTGTATATATTAAAGGAATATTGATCCTAAAATCCTAGAACATAAATAATTGAAGATTTTTGTCCGTACTGCCATTGGCATTGTTAGAAGTTCTGTCTTCATAATGGTCTCCAAGCAAGCACTTAAACAGTCAAGCCCATTAGATCTTTATAGAGACCAACTTTGTCAACTTATCGACAAATTTCTTTAAGCACATATCTTTTTCTGGAGCCTGATTACTTGCTCTGGCATAGCAAAGAAAAAGTGCACCATATTATCCAAACACTCATTTAAAGCAGCTATAAACACCTGTCTACAAGATGAATGCAGGTGAAAAAGAGGCACAATTTTCTTACCACCTCTTATTTTTCTGTTATGCACACTAGTCTGTACTCAAAAATAGAGTATTCATTGGAGAAATGACAGGACATGAATTCACAGTATGAAAATCCTTACTACCAATAACATCAACACTTTTCTTCTTTGACAATCAAGTCGAAAATAGGTTTCAATGTATACAAGACTCTTTCAAAAGGTGATATTTTAAACAAAATATGGCATTAGAAATCTGAAGAGAAGTAGTTATATCCTATCCATGTGAAAATATTTTTAGATTTTAATTAAATAACTTATCAGTAAAATTAGTGGGAATATATCACTGAATATAAAATGTAGCTATTATTTTGCATTGTTTAGTCAAATAAAAAATAGCTCTTTTACAAATAAAAACTTTCTCAGGATAGTAATTGTAATGAACTGAATGTATGTGTCCCTTCAACCCAAATTCATATGCTAAAATCCGAATCCCTAAGGTAATAGTATTAGGAGGTGGAAATTTGGGGAAGTAATTAGGTCATGAGGGAAGAATTATTATGTGGTATTAGTGTCCTTATAAAAGAGACACCAAAGAGTTCTCCAGCTCTTT